CACACACAAGAATAAAGTCACATATAGACCCTGGGAATACTTCTCGATTTTATGTAACAAAGAGAGGACCAAATGATCAAATGGTCAATGCTTATAATCCACATATTCTCAAATCATGGAGAGCTAATATGGATATTCAAATGATTAGAAGTGTGTATGGTGTAGCACTTTATGTTTGTACATATATTTGCAAAGCAGAACCCAAAGCTCTAAAACAAGCTATTTGCAATGCCCTGAATCAATTACCTGAACACTGTACACAAAAAAAAACGTCTTCATAAAATTGGCTCTGTTGTACTTTCACATAGACAAATTTCAGCACAAGAAGTAGCATTTCGAATGATAAACTTACCATTAGTACAATCATCAGTTGCAACTGTTTTTCTTAATAACAGAAAACCGGAATATCGTCAAAAGATACTAAAGCCACTGTGTGAAAGACAAAAACTTAATGACAACTCAACTGATATTTTTGAAACAGGTTTGTCCGACTACTATAYACAACGTCCTTGTGGAGAATTTTGGGATAAAATGTCTCTTGCTACATTTCTTTCCCAGTATACACTGTGTTCAGATAAACAGCATGACAACCATAGACAACCATGTTATCCTATTCAAAACACCAACAAAAGAATTAGACAACGCACAAACTTTGCTTGTGTAAGAATGCCAAAATTATCACTTCATTCACATGGTGATGAATATTATTACTCTCAACTTTATGCATTCCTGCCATTCCGCAATGAAAAAGATATCGTTCCAGAAAATGAAACATTGGCAAGTATATTTCTGAAGCACGAAAACAACTTAGACCTTAAAGCMATTCCTTACCACAAATTTCACTCAGAGCTCAAAAATGCAGTACGAATGTTAAGACTTATCGAAAATGGAGACACAGATTTTGGGCAACTTCTTCATCCTAATACATCAGCATTTGAGAATAATATCGATATTTTCAATTCAGAAGCATCAAAATCTTTAAATCCTTATGATTTTCTTAACACATCTGGTATTCCAAATACCTTACTTGATGAAAAGCAAATGTCTGACAACAAAAATATTCAAAACTTGGATATTTCAATTGAAGACATATCAAATACTACTGATTTCAACAGTATTGCAATTTACACCATGAGTGACACTGAATTTGAAAAATGCATTGAAAATATGACTGCTGATCAACAAAAAGTTGTTGACATACTATTTAATTACTTCAAAAAATTTAATGATGCACAACATTCTTCAGAGCTATATCCAGATCCATTGTACCTCTTTGTAACAGGGGGGGCAGGTACGGGAAAATCTTTCCTTATTCGTCTCATAAAGGAAATAATCATACGAAAAACAAAGAAAACCTCAGTACTTCTTACAGCACCAACAGGCTGTGCGTCACACAATATTAATGGTCAAACACTACATAGTACATTCAAACTTCCGGTGCAACATCCTAAAGCACATCTCTTAAACAATGATATACCACTTAGTTATTCTGCAAGAGATCAATTACAACAACTATACCACGATATTCAGTTTCTCATTATAGATGAAATAAGCATGGTGTCAGATCACATATTTCATACTGTCCATGAAAGACTCAATCAAATAAAATGCATAGATCCATCATCAAATAAAATATTTGGTGGTTGCTGTGTGATTGCATTTGGAGATTTTTATCAATTACAACCTGTTGCATCCCGATATGTATTTGACACAGCAGTATACAGCAYATACAACCTCTGGATAGCACACTTTAAGCCAGTATTTTTGACTACAAACATGCGCCAGAGTCTTGATCACCAATATGCAAATTTACTCAATCGTATAAGAATAGGCCATCCAACGCTTAATGATATCAACACATTAAGAGAGCGAACAAAAGTATCA